GGTTCAAAGTATAGTGTCTGCTTATCCTTCAGTGGCAGATTCAATTCTCTGTCAACTCACAAATTGTTCAAATTAGTATATCACTTCCTCCAATGGGAACCATAAATCACCCCATCCTCTTGTTACTACAAAGTCTGCCTCCCAGAGCCCCTGCTTACTCATTTTGATGCTGAATGCAAGCTTCCTGTAACCCTCTGTGGCATGATTTACCCTCTTCCCCTGGAGTGTGAGTCTACGTGACTAATAAACTGCTGTTCATCTCGGCTTCCTAGTGTCAGGTGTTGTATGCACAGCCACCTTCATAACCCAAGGGTGGGAATCTCTTGCAGGGCAATCAACACCCATAAGCTACAGTCCTTATCATTCAGTCTCATGAGATCTCTGCAATGGATCTAATCCTAAACCACAATGCTTCTAGGACTTTAATACATATGGATATCACTTAGGGATTGTGTTACAATGCAGATTCTAATTTAGCAGATATGAGGGGAGTCTAGGATTCCGTATTTCTAGCCAGCTCTCAGGTGGTATTGATGCTGTTTATTCAGAGACAGCACACTTTCAATAATAGTAAGATACCAGATCATTGAATTTGCACACTATTTCACCAGAAACCAAAGGAAAATGTCAAAGTAAGTTGGTTCATGCTAGGTTAAGTGTTAATAACTAAACTATCTGGATATAGCAGAATTGCAATGAGATGAGTTTTCTCTGGGGTTTGTTATCCAATATTCAGAAAGTGAGTTGATGAACTTAATTCTAAAACATAGTTTAGGATATAATGGTTAACAGTGCTCTATTATTTATAATGCAATTTTTCTTAAATACTGGCTTATTTTGTCTTCAAAACAATCTTATGAGGAATGGAGTGAGATCATTGTGTTTGAGCAGACAAAGACCCAAGGCAAGCAGATGCTTCACAGAGCTTTTAGGAAGCAATGCAAAGACATGAATTCAGGCCTCCCATTCCATGCCTAAATCCTTTTCTCCTCTTCTATCATCTGATCCTAGTATCCTTATCTCGATCTTGATATCTGGCTATGTTTCATTAGTTGTTTAACACTGAACAGAAGCAGAATGCTAGTTCAGAAGAAGCTAAGACACAACCACAATCTGATTTGGCTTTACATACATAAATAACAAGGCCAATTGATTTGGAAGTATTAAGGGTAATTTTCAATTATTATTACATTAATATGAACCTGTCTGAATACAAATAACTTGGGTGCTTATGTAAATGTATTGTGCTGGTAAAATTAAAACCTAAGTTGTTTTCTTAGTTCTGTCCACTTCTCTGCTCCATGGTCACCTATGATGTGACGTTTGTATCATTTACCTCCCATACTCTGTAGTTTTTTTGTAGTTGTCAGATTGGTTATTTTACCTTTTTTGTTTATGTTAGTGGAGTTAAAAAATACTGTCTTCTTCAAATACAGATGTTACAACATTTTATTAAATCATTCTAAGACTAATTTTTGATATTTAAATGCCAAATGCCAAAGATATTTATAATACTTAGAGGACTAATATTTTCATAGAAAAATCTCTTTTCATTACTGCGGAGACAAAGAAGTCAAGATAATCCAAGAAATGCTGTCAGTCACCAGGAAAGGAACAGTCTCCACATATAAAAACACCTCAGAATTGACAGCAAAGATGCTTATCAAGACTAGGCCTTCTTAACATTATTTAAGGTTTATAATCTTTTTTTGACAGTTGAAAGAAAATAATAGCTGTGCTCTTGAAAGAAAGGGCTAAGTGACATCTCATTATTACTGCATCCTCTCTAGCATCAAGTTTTGAAAATCATGAGTAGTCTACAAGTACACACTTAGCTTTAAACCTAAAAAAAAAACCAGTTGCCGTCAAATTAATCCAATTCATGGTTGCCATGGTGACCACAGTGATCTTTTGGAAGACACTTCTGGGTGGATTTAAACCACTAAACCTTTGGTAAATAGCCAAGTGCTTAATATTTGCACCACTCAAGCCTGGGTCTATTCTGTGCCATACTAACACTTTAAAGTCCATTAAACCATCAAATTGTACCAAACAAACTCCAATTCTCATGAGAACTGAACACTATTATGTCTGAATCATGCTACACAGCAATCCCTAGAACTCCTTCACTATGTGGGCATCCCTCTGTCTGAAAATTGCAATGATGAGTGTAGTAGAATGACCATCTCTACCCTAAGACAGGCTTAATCAATTCATATTAGTAAAGGAAAGGTATCAACATGATGTCTGGCTAATAAACAGAGTTCAGGTAGAGAATCATCAATTATTAATAGTTTTCTGCTACTATTAATTTTTATTGGTGTGTATTGTAGTAGACATAAATAGCATGGACATGAATGGTCAGACATGAAATTTGCCTATCTCTCACTTCTCATTGGTCACACCTTCAGATCACTTTGTCCTTCTGCCTTCAGTTCCTCCTCAAAAGCACCAAGCCCCTCCCAGATCCAAGCTTTCAGATTCATAATTTCTTCTGCCCACAGCAAATATCCCCAACTTCAATATCAGCTAACATTGTGATATGTTTTCAGAATGGCACATTCCTTCATTATAGTTGTAGTGACTAATTTTCTAATTTGTCATTTAAGGTGTGTCTTCGCTACTGAACTGCAAGCAACATGAGAGTAGGTAAAAATGTTCATTTACCATAGAGTCCTTATTACTGTTCAGCAGTTCTTAGCACCTGGTGGCTCAGTAGATAATTGTTGAATAAGGGTGTATGAGAACTAGACTATGAACTCTTTGAGTTGTTGCTCACATTTACAGCCCTTACAAGGACAGCAGATAATGCTTTGTACCTGTGGAGGCAACTAGTATGTGTTGAACTTCTAAATTAATTTAAAAATAGAATTGCTTGCAGCAACAAATTTAGTAGTGTCCATACCTGATTGTGAAGAAATTCAATCCTATATGAAATGATAACTGGAATGAGAACATAGTTAAGTTTAGCCTAGTGATTATTTGATCAGTGTCAGGATTATTATTCTTGGTTTCCTCCTACACTTGCACATTACAAGAGGAACAGAAACTCATGGGTGGCTAAATTTAAACTGCTTTAAAATGCTCAGAAATGCATCTTGTAAAAAGTAATGGTCTCAGAGTATAATCTAATATTTGGTTATTCACTGCTATAATTTGGAATTATAAAATTCCTACAATGTTTATGTCAGTTTTATTCCTCCCTTCTGTTCGTTCTGTTGGCTGTTGAAATATTGCTATCTGGCTTTTGACTTGTAAATAAGAAATGAGAAGCAGGGTATTTCAATTAATATTTTAATTATTTTATATATTTTTAAAATTATTTAATACCTTAAGCTTATCACTTTGAAAGCTGAGATACATGGAGATATATGAGTAAAATTTAACATCTAGGTAAGATATTACCACTACAGTCATCTCTTCAACAAGTAAATGCTAAGTTGTAACTCTAACTATGCTTAAGAGTATAGTTTGTCACAAGATGTAATTTTTGAGAAGGCATGTTCAAGTTTTTCATGTAGGGATATTCCAGGAATGTGCTATATATGGAACTTTTTAGAAAGTTATGAGACTTAAATTCCTGGAAAGAAATGCATTATTACTTCCTAAAAATGTTTGAACAAACGAAATCATTTTGAGTGATATATTTTCCATGGGTAATTGTTTATAATTCATTAAAGGAAAAAAAAAGTCCTTGCACAGGCTCTCACACATCTTTAACTCCTTTACAAGGAAGACAAACTGAGAAACAAGCAAAACAGGTAATCTGCCCCCAAAAGGCCATTCTTATTTAAAAAAAAAAAAATCTGCAAAAACTGTTTTTAATGGTTCCTCTGAACTCATGACAAAGAATATATCCAGGAATAGGGCTTCAAAATCCAAGCGGTGTTCCATTGTTTGCAGTTACCTTGGATTTTAACTAGGTGTACAAGTTGACTTCTGACCATGGGAAATCCTGTCCATGGATGGGTTATGGAATGTTGAGGCCATGGCAGATAACCAGTTCCACAGAAGCAACTTCATGTTCTTCTGAGGAAGATCCATAGCACTGTGGAACAAGGAATATAAATGAGCAATGCCACAAGAGACTGCAAATGGGGTTACCAAAATACAACCCTCAAAAAAAAAAAAACACTGAAAGTGAAAAATCTACAAGAAAAATATATTAAAAAAATATAAAAAACAAACCAAAGTCACTGCTGTTGAGTCAGATTGGACTCATAGCGACCCCTCCTTGGGTTTCTGAGGCAGTACCACTATGGAAGTAGATTGGCCAACCTTTCTTCCGAGGAGTGGCTGGGGGGGTTTGAACCTCCAGCCTTCTGGTTAGCAGTCAAAAGCCTTAGGCTTCAGTTATCATATCCTGAGTGCTGGAGGACTTATTTAAGCATTTGACAGTCAAAATATGTGTTGATTCCAAGCTCAATAAGTGGATCCAAAGAACAAAACCAAATTTACTGCTATGGAGTCGATTCTGACTCATTGCAACCCCCTCTGGGTTTCCAAGGCAGTAAATCTTTACTGAAGTAGATTGCTCAGTCTTCCTTCCAAGGAGTGGCTGGTGGGTTTGAACCACCAACCTTCTGGTTAGCAGTCAAATGCCTTAGGCATTATGCCTCCAGAGCTCCTTCAAATAAGTAGGTAAGTCATGTTTTTGTTATAAAAACAAACATTTTTCAGCATTGCCAGAAACTATATATATAGAGAAAAAAAAAAATTCTTAAGTGTCTAGAGTGGAAAATAACAAAAGAAAATAGTGAAACTAGTAATAAAATAGTTGGTCTTTAATTGTTTCCAATTTAAATATATTTGATTTAGTATAAACTTCACCACCATCCAGTCATACACAAAACACACCAATTTTTAAATATTTTATAATAGCCAAAGGAGGGGTTTACATGTGTTTATTAATGGAACTCACTTTGGAATAGTTTTTAATAAGCTGCTAATGAATTTCGGCCTATCAGTTCCATTCCATTCCTCAGTCCCTTTCCTGATGTCTAAGGGTTAATGTCCTGTACCATGAAGAGATTATCCTGTGACACTCCGGGATTGATTTGGTCTGGGCTGAAATAGTCATAGTTTATAAAGTTCTCTCTTTCTTCTTCAGACTCTACTAGGATTGATAAAGGCATTTCCAGAGGCAAATGGTTGTCTTCCTCACTCTGGTCATACATGTCCTCCTCTTCCTCGGCTATCTGCTCATCTTCGTCTTCCTCCCCCATCTCCTGCTCATAGTCAGCCTCTTCGGCCTCCTCTCCCTCCTCACCCTCCTCCTCTCCATCCGCGCCCTCTTCTTCATCCTCGCCTTCCTCACCATCTGCCTCTTCATCCTCTCCCTCACTCTGCTCATCACACACTTCCTCCTCATACCCCTCTTCTTCATCATTTTTTTGTTCTGCTTCCTCCATTATCTGCGGGGTGGGAGACTGGTTTTCCTCCTTGGTGACAGGACTGAATACTAGACAGGGATCCTGCACAAAACTGTACAAAATTTCTTGAAGCTCCGCATCTTCCTCGGCCCCGCTAGGTGGCGCGTAGTCTCCAGAGGTGGCCGCTGGGGAGGCCGGTTCGCCCGCCTGAACTTCTTGTGTTCGCAGCGCCTCCTGCTGGCGCTCCAGCTTCTCTTGCTGCCGCATGTCCTCGTAGATCTGGTTCATGATGAACTGGGTGGTGTTACGCGGTGCGCGCATGCCGGGAGCCCGCCACCCATACAGGTTAACTGGCCGCAGCAGCATGCTCAGATCCACAGGCGGGCTCCTTGGGAAGCGGCGAGGGTGGCGGCGTAGACCCCGGCCTCTGCGGCCCCATCGCCTCTTCCTGCCATAGGGCCTGATCCAGCCGGGGTTCCAGTGTCTGCGCCAACAGGAGCAGCAGCAAAGGCAGAACGGTTGCAGTCCACACAACCGGATCATTTGCACCTGGCTGGGGACCTTCCAGAATCTGGCCGGGGGCGGGTGCCAGGGCCCTCCCCAATGTCCGGAGTTGGAGGACATGGCCCAATAGGGCCGTCGAGGTGGTTGGAACCAAGGGTCAGGGCCGCGCTGTTGCTTCCTTGGGGGCTCATATTCAGCCTTGGGGCCATAACGGTGCCACCGCTTGTTAATCGGGGCACCCCTGCGCCTTCGGTGGCACGAGGACCAGCTGCGTAATGGGGCCGAGGATGCCCAGCCACCGCCCAGGTTAAGAGGGTCCTGCCTTTTGTCAAGGATCTGGGTCATGGTTCAGGGAGCCCTGAGAGATCTAAATGGTGAAGTCCTAAAAGCTATAGTCAAGTTTGGCCAGATCCAACTGTCTGGAGAGAGGCTCGTCACCAGTGCCTCAACGCGAAGCCCCGTGCCTGCCTCTGGGATTACGACTTTCTCTCCCACAGGCCGCCTCTTCTTGGCTCTTGAGTCGCAATCTCTTGTCTGTCGTTCTCACCCGGGTTGTCCTGCCCAGGTGGGTTGGGTGGGACTGGGGCTAGGTAAGGATGGTGGGGGAGGAAGGTGTTGGTTGGCGACACGCAGCTAGACCCGCTCCCGGGTCCCACATACACCCGTCTCTGTGGAGGCGCGGGTTGGGGACTAGGGAGGCAAAGGTTGCGTGTTACCTTGGGGCTCCCTCTCAACCCAGGTGCTTCACAGTGGCAGTCCTGGCAGGACTGAGGTGGCTCGGGCAGTTGCAGCCTTTAAATACCGGCAGGGCCCCCCCGCGTGCCCACCGCGTCCTTGGTTGTCTTGGGCGACAGCCAATGGGGATTGAGGTCGTTCTCCTTGTGCCTGGAGGAGGGTTCTGTCCAGGAAAGAAGTGCACGCATCAACGTTCTTATGTTACTTGTGACGCAGTTTTTGAAGGAGGGGAAGAGGGGCAGTGGACTTTGTGCTGCCCAATTTGGGCAACACTTGAGGCAATTTCTTTGTACTCTACCACCCTGAGGCAACAAAAGATGGACCGTCAGCTGAACCAAGGATGTTGGGGAGGAGGACTTGTGTATGGAACAGCATATAGCCTATACCTTTGAGTGGCCGAGGGAATAAAAAGAAAGCTTCTAAGTAAACCTAGGCTCCACTCCTTACCTTATGGCCCATCCTCCTCTTTTAACTCCTGGGAACCGCAATTCATTATACATAATGCAAGGACTTACAACATTTATTTACTACTTGTGTTTACTGCACACGTAATCTTCACATCTGCCCTGTGAGGGAACCTTTCACAGATTAGGAAACTGAGAAGTTAATTTGCCCAAAGTGTGGGGCATATAAATTTTAGGACTGGAATTTAAACCTAGCCCTGTTTGAACCCAGAGCCCAATCGTTATGGACATTGCTATACCCACACACCTTTTTTTTTTTTTTAAATGTATTTTATTGCAATATAATTTATGTACAGTGAAACACACAAAAATAAAGTGATATAAGTCAATGCATTTTTTTACAGTGTTCCCTCCCCTCCCCTCCCATCCGTGGCAACCAACAAAGTTTCCCTCCATATATAAACCTTCCCTTGACCCTCCATAACAAGGAACTAATACTATATTTGTCCTTCTGTGATTGACTTATTTCACTCAGCATAATGTCCTCCGAGTTCATCCATATTATGCTATGTTTTGCAGACTCTACATTATTCTTTAATGCTGCATAGCATTCTAGTATGTGTATGTACCATAGTTTGGTCATCCACTCTTCTGCTGATGGGCACATAGGTTGTTTCCATATTTTTGCTATTGTAAATAGTGCTGTGATGTACATGAGCATGCATGTATCTGTTCCTATCCTGGCTCTCACCTCTCTAGGATATATACCTTGTAATGGGATTGCTGGGTCAAATTGTATCTCCAATTCCAACTTTCTAAGGAATTGCCATATTGCTTCCCACAGTGGTTGTGTCACTTCACAGTCACACAAGCAGTGTATGAGAGTCCCAATCTCTCCACATCCCCACCAGCATTTGTTATTTT